CCCCTCCCCACTGATCCCTCGACCCAAGGGTGGGGGCACCCAGAGGCCTCACCGGCTCCCGGCCACACTCCACCATCGACAGTGGCACGTCAGGCAGGAAGGCGAAGACGGAGACCTGGGCCGTGCACCGCTGCACCTGGGGGACACAGGGACCCTTGTGGGACCTTTGTGTCCCCCTCTGTGGGTTTTTTTGGTGGGGGGAGGGAACTGGTCCCAGTCTTACCCTGCCTGGCCGGGCTTGGCAGGCGGTGCCACGGCGCTCGGGGAGGTTTTTGGGACAGGCAGGCTGGCGGGCGGTGAAGTTCATGCTGAAATGGGTTCCCCAATCGAACGTCTTGAAAAAAAGATGGAACCGCCGGTGGGAAACGGGCTCCCAGCTTCATCCACCCCCGTCACTTGTCACCCACCCTGCTCCTACCGTCCTGGTGACTCCCAGCAGCTTCAGCAGCTTCAAGTCCTGCCCGTGGGTCTCCAGCACGGTACGAGCCAGGTCGCGGGGCGCCGGCAGCCCCGGCAGGATGGCGGCACCCGCCGCCAGCAGCACAGCTCCCAGCACCAGCGCCATGCGGCCCAGGGAAACTCAGCAGGGCTCGGGGGCCCCCCCAGCCTCAGCCTGCTGCGTTTTCCAGGATAAACACCGGGCCCCTGCCGCCGTGGGGAAGGGATCGGGTTGCTGGTGTTTTCCTTGGCGGGTGCTTGCCTGGGCCTGCCAGTGATGCTGATTCCCCCTCCTTGGCCTCTTCCCTTCATCCATTCCTGATTTCACAGCAGGATGGTACAACCGATGCTCCTGGGATCCATCCAACCATGCTTGACGTCCTGCTCCTCCTGTGCCAGGAGCAAGACTCTCCTCCCAGATTTACTAAGAAAAAAAACAGGAGCCCCCTCCCTTCTCCGTCTTTTTTTCCACTTTTTTTCTGCTCAGAGCTCACCCTCGTCTTAAACATCCCATCCCCAGACAGAGATCATGCCCCGAAACCCTCCCCACCTCGCTCAAAGATGCCACACCAGCCAACTAGGGGAGGAATTTCTCTTGGTTTTTAATTAAAAAAAAGGGTTAAGTGACAGTAAAAGTGCCCTTTTGGGGTGGGGATGCAGGTTGGTGTGCACAGGGGGGGAAAAGCAGCGCAGCGTGGTTTGCAGACATAGAAACGTGCCGGTATGATGAGGATCCTTAATGCATTTTTTTTCCAGCATTTTCCTTGAATTTGAGGACATGGTATTTATCGAGGATTGCACTGAGCAGATGGTGCTCTCCCACTCTACATTCCTCGGCTGACTAGGGCTCGTTTCCACCAAATATGGTATTTTTCTGTCCCTTTAGGGACACCAGCAGTTGGGGGCTGAGGGTGAAGGTGCTGGAGCCGTGCTGAAGGGCCATGAGTTCCCCTTTCTCTTTGGTTCATCCACAAACAAAAAGCAAAAAAATCCCCAGGAAAGGAAACCCAGGGAGCGTGAGCAGTGCAGCCAGGGGATGGGTGAGTCCCCCAGGACCACCAGCTCGGGAGCCTGGGGGGTCCACAACAGCCCCGGCTTTAGCAATTCTTTGAGTCACTGCTCTTGTAAGAGTATTTGATCCAATATTTATATTCTTATGGACACAAAAGCTCATCTGGGAGGGAGAAGGGATGTAAGATGGGAGGAGGGCACAGCTGGAGAGCAGCCCCATGCCTCTCAAAGCATGAGGTGACCACAGAAAGGACACGGCCTGGGGAAGAAAAGATGCTATGAGGTGGCAGGTCAGAGGAGCACAACTCTTGAGCCAGGGGAAATAGGGGAGAGACAGAAAAATACAGCATTGTCCTTCCCTCGGAGGGAACAGAGGCTGGTCCTTCTGCAGGGACCCCACTGCAGCTCTAGCTCGGTTATTTCTGCAATTCACGGCTCAAAGAGCAACTTCATTTTGATTCCAGTGTTCACAGGTGTTTGGGGTTTTTTTTCCTTTTATAGTCTTAGCAGCATGAAAACCCCAAATGAATTCCCCCTCCAGTGAACCCAGCAGCTGATATACATGGAGGAAATAGCTCTATACTGACAAATCACATTTACAGCCAGATATGCTCATTATATATACCTAAAATATACACAGTACCTGAATATATAGACATCCACATATACACCCGAAGTTAAAATCCCCAGAGATGCTGGGAGTCAGCTATGAGCAAGTAGGGGGTTGGGATTTGGGGGCTGGGGTGAACATCCAGCTCCCCCTGGCTTGGTGCAAGGTTGGGGCCAGGAGGGGCAGGGGCTGAGCCCCCCCAAACACTGGGACAAGGGGCGAGATCCCCATCCTTTTGCTGCGGCCGGCGGGATTAGTGTCAAGTTCCTCCTGCCCGAGCAGGCAGCAGGGGCAGGAGCCTGGCCCTGCCTGTCCCCCTCGATAGCAGTGACAGGGTATGGCTTAGCTGAAGGGTGGCACAGGACAGTGGCAGGGGGGAGCCCTGGAGGGATGGCAGAGGAAGGCTGAAGGGCTGACACAGGCAAGGATGGCACGGGCAGGGAGCTGCCACGCTGCCTGTGCCTTGTTTCACGGGCACAGAAATGTTTCCTGGCAAAAACCCACCGCCAAGACCTTTCCCAGCAGAGCAACACCC